TAGATAATAATTTAATATGCAATTTTTAATGAAACGAATTAATAAAATTTAATCAATAAATTGTTATTATAAAAATTAAAATCAGCTAAATGTACAAAAATCGGTAATAATTATTAGGTTTATTAACAATCGTCAATTTGATTTTACCGATTTGTTGCCAATTTTATTGATCGATTTGTTGACAAGTGGCAGGCGTTACGGTGCAAATCGTTTATAAAATTAGTTACCGATTTTTTTAGTACTGATTGGCTAAGGTCGGACCAAATTTCGTCCAACATTCGGCAATTTAAAATTTTGCTGAAATGGACTATTCCGACCAGTAAGTTGGCTTGTAAATACATGTTAAATCAAAAATTATTAGATTCCAAAAAGGACTATTTAAGTTATTTTAGCTTTCAGCTGTTTCTTTAAATCCAAATTTCCCAAAATCTCATTACTTCAGGTGGGTACTTCTGAACTCAAAATAGAAAGTAGTTAGTAAATATATAAAGAATATTATTACGTTTAATACATATCATTCCATGAGCTTTCTGGAGAACATTATCTATACTATGAACAGAAAGTTATGAAACTTTCACCCACTTTTAACGGCTTAGAGTAAAATAAAAAGTTAATAAATCTGTTGAGTAAGTTAAGTTGCAATTTCAAGTTACGCATTACTATTATCGTACTGATAGTGTCTCAATATTTCTGTTGTTCTTCATCAACAAGAACATTATTTAAAAAGATAAGAAACCGTTTTCACCATATAGATTTTTATTTATCTAATGAACCTTGAACTAATTTAAGGTGAAGTTTCATTGCTTTAAAAAAACCCAAGTATAACCACTCTAAGCTTTCAAAATTAGAGTTGCCTGCCTAAATTTATTTGGGATTTGTCTAAATGTCTAAACCTAGTTTTAGCAGTTTTTTAATAAAAGTCTAATAGTATAATTTTGTCAAGTTTTACCTTTCATCATTTCTAAATCCCTTAGTTTTAGCAAGTAACCTTATTTAAAATTTGACCAAATTAATATCTATTTAAGGGTTGGCAGTTATTGTGTGATAAAATATAGGTGTAGTTTTTATGACTTTACAATTATTCTTTACTAAAAATGGCCAATTTTTTGAAATATTTTTATAGACCTAGATACAATGGCTTTCAAAACAATTGTGCAATTATTTTGTAAAATTTTTAAAATATATCAAGATATATTTAAGGTATTTTTGAGATTAAAATATTAAAATAATATCAAAGTTAATTATATTATAATAATAAAATAATAACAAAAACATTAAAAAATTATTGTGATATTATTTAATTATTTTTATAGACCTAGATACAATATAATTACAAAATAATAGCAAAAGTATAATAAAAATATTTTGATATATTAAATGTATTTTTGTAGTATTTTAAAATTATTTCAAAATTATTTCAAAAAATTGGCCATTTTTAGTAAAGTTATATTACGTAATATTAGTATTATGTCTATTATATCCTTTATAAAATATTGTATCATTTCTAAATCTTACTATAATAAAAGGATGTGCATGACATTAAAAAAAAAGAGGTGCCTTTATATATGAAAAAATCCTTTATTACACAAACTGTTTGACTTGTCTATAATTTTTTTCAAAAAACAACATATTTATTTAATATATTATTTATTATTTATTACAAATTGAAATGATTTCGAATCTATAGGAGATAAAAAAATAAAACAAGGTAAGGCTATTATTCATCAATTTTTTTATCACAATTTAATATAATTACATTACACAAATACTATAGATATCACGAATAGAAACTGATTTTATCCTTGGTATAAACTGCTGACTTCTTTGACTATTTTTTATTCACCAGAATGAAGTCTCTCTAAATATAAAAATAAAAAAATAAAAATACTGTAGATATCAGTTATTTTAGGCTAAGAATTGTTGACTTTTGTTACTTTTTTTTTAGTCAATAATCAATTGTAAAGTATACGCTTTGTTTTTTACATTTTATTATTATTTCATATAAATTATTTGTTAATTGCAAACTTTTTTTATGGTTTACCTTAATATTTATAAATTTTTATTTTTAGTTTTGAATCTTTATGTGTCTGACCCTAACGCATTTTTTTTGTGCATTACAATATTATTCATTATTTTTCTTATTAGTTGGTAAAATAAAATTATGTAAAAGACTCTGATAGGAAACAACTGAAGGTTTGTTTTATACTCTGCTATATTAAGATTGTGTAAGTCATATCTATCGATTGATGGAGCATTCTTCTGCTTGCCTGAAGTGGGTACAGTCAGACCTCTATAATTGCATTCTCCATAATTGCATCCACTATGTATATCCTTTTTAAATGCACTCTCTGGTTCAGTTCCAAGCTTATATGATCTCTAATTATTTTACCTCTATAAATGCATCACACCCTCTTTAAATGCATTATTTTGAAAATTATACATATGGTTCCAAGGGGTGTGCAATTATGAAGGTCTGACTGTAGCATGTTATGGTCTGGACCTAAAATTAAAGATTTTAGCCTTACTTTACAGAAACTTTAAGTTTTCAAGTGATACAGTGCAGTACCTCTATAATAGGTACCCCTTATATCTTGTGATTTAATGGTCAGAATTTTATAAAAATTTAAAATTAGATAGCTTTTAAAAAGATAAATACATTAAGCAAATAAAAAAATTTTCTCGATTTTTTTTTGCTGACATAATACAAAATCACATGACTTAAAATAAATTTGATTGGCTAATGTAATACCTAATGTTAATTAGAATTATGCATAATTTTTATATATAATTTATTATTCATTATAATTATTTAAAAGTAATTTAATTAAGTATATCATCAGGAACTTTTCTATGGGATTTATATTTTTTTAGCAAGTTTTCCTATAATTCCTTTTTGAGAAATAGGCATAATATAATTTGTAATAAATAAAAACTACCAAAATTTTTTTTTGATATAATTTGTAATAAATAAAAACTACCAAAGTTTTTTTTAATTTTTTTTAAAAATTTTTTTAACAAAGCATGGGTAAGTTTATAAGCTAAAATGATTTATTTGAATAAGCACTATCAAATGATTGTTTTTTTTATATTACACAAAAATCACTTATTCTCAAATTTTTCCCATCATAATAAATTACCCGAACTTCAAACTCATGTAACACTAGCAAAATTTATTATTTTTTAATCTAACCCGATAAGTTTAAAAGCTCTTGATATGCTTTATTAAAATTATCGGTTAGAATTTTAAAATATTATTTTTTGCTAATGTGACATCTTTTTGAAAATGTCACATTATGACTATAAAATTGGGTCGGTTATAGAGGTACTGTACTGTATTATTTCAATATCATTTTGATATCATTTCAATATAGATTTAATATCAATACAATATCGAAATAAAGTATTATCATTTCGATATCATTTCGATATTAAATCGATATTAAATCGATATCAAAATAATATCAAAATGATAATAAAAATAACATCGAAACAACATCTTTAAGTTTAATTTAAAGATGTCATTTTGATATCATTTTAATTATCATTTTGATATCATTTTGATATCGATTTAATATTGAAATAATATCGAAATGATAATACTTTATTTTGATATCGTATTGATATTAAATCTATATTGAAATAATATCAAAATAATATTGAAATGATACCGTTAAGATAAACTTAACGATATCGATTCTATATTGATTAAAAATGTTAAGTTTCTGTAAAGTAATTATTTTTGGATTATGGTTGTAAGATTATATAGCCTTAATTAATTACTGCATATAAAAATTGTATTATGACACTTTTTTGAATTATGACTAACATCTTTACCTAAAATTCCATCATGACATGTGTGGTTACGCTATCAATTTCTTTGCAAAGTCACACCCTGCGGTTTCTATCGATTGACAGGCATTCTTCTGCTTGCCTGAAGTGGATAGCATATTATGGTCTGGATCTAAAATCCCACTATAACAAATGTGACTGGCTGACTGCATAATCAATTTTGATATTTGTCATCTACTATTCTACTACATTTAAGAACATTAACTTACATTACTTCTTTTCTAAGTATTAAGCTAAAAAGACAAAAACTTGGCAATTTGGCGGAAAGAACATCAAGAAGGAATAGTGAAAGCTACCATCGAATGTAAAATCAATGAAAATATTAATAAGATATTACTTGGTTCGGATTGAATTTGCACTCTATCTTTATACATTATAATTATTGGCGTAAAATCGAAAATATAACAAGGAATGCTACAAGTGAAGAAAAAAATCATCTTGTAGATACGCATGCTGCACTTGTTCAAAATTTATAGAGGAATAATACAATTATTTTAATATTAAAACATAATATTGATGAATTCTTATAATTTCCATCATTCTTCTTTTCAATATTATTTGAATGATTCATAAATAAATTATGTTTCATGTTATTTAGTATGAAATGAGGTGAAGAATAATACTATAATACCTCGTATTGCACTAATAAATATTATCAAGTACTGTTTCATGTTTCCAACCAATTTTAACATCGACTTCTTGAGCAACAACCTTAATCGTTGTATCATCAAAAAATAAAGTAATCGAAATAGCATTATTATTAAATGTACTAGGTGTATGGATCTTCAATGTACCAATTAAATTTACTCCAGGAGAATTACAATATTTTACATTATGTTCATCTGTAACAAATAAATCTAAATTATTTCGTGATATGAAACTTGAACTAAAAATCATTGAGATTCCAGTATCGGAAGGAATTTCATCCCCTCGTTTAGCTATTCGTAAAAAAGAATTAATCATTCCATCTGAAAGTTTAAGTTCAATTGGATCACTAGAATTCCATTTGCGAGTAACTTTAACTCCTAAAAAAAGGGATATAATAAGAAGTTTATTTCACTTATTCTTAATTAATTAATTGATTTATAACTTGCCATATGTCTTTTCGAAAACACGTGGTGAAACAATTTTTATTTTATCTAAGAGCCTGTCTATCAATCCATATTGTACGGCTTTACAAATCAAAAAAAATGATTAGTTATAAGAAAGTTCCAAAGTAATAATAAAATAACTCACCTCCTTTAACGATTGTTATCGAGGGAATTGCAGGAATAATTATGTTAATGTTTCTTTGATTAAATTCTTGCTTAATTCTTCTTTGCAAATATTTAGATTGGCTAAAACCACCAACTAGAATCATAGCTTCGCAACTTCTAATTGCATTTAATTGTGTACGAATTAATTGTAAAATTCTTTCTATCACTGGATCAAACATTGCTTTAACATCATCAAAATTCAAGTCAATAATCCATTCCATATTTTCCATTTCATCAAGCTCAGAGCCTTTAATATATTGCTTAATAGCTGGACATAGTAATTCTTTTGTTATAAAAATAAATACAAAATATATTACTAAAATATTTAATAAGAATCTTTAAAACTTGAAAATAAGTAAAGTATCACCTAAGTCTAAATCAAATGGTATAAAATCTTCTTGTTGTCCAGTAAATGGAAATTTTACATGTCCACAAAATTCTTGTATCATATATTGCAATTGACCACAATGATTATTTCTAACATGATCGATTGCTGATGAACCAACTTTACGACCAAGGAAATTAATAAACTCATCATCAACAAAATACCCTCCACAATAATCTCCACTCCTTTCAGTTATTTCACCAAGTTTATGATTTTCGAGGAGCTTTTGAGTTGTCAATTCAACAGTGCCACTACCACAATCAACAATCATAATAAATGTTGCTAATAAATAAAGAATAGAAAAAAATTTTGAATCTATATTATTTTAAAACGAACCAAATCTGATTACTTACAGCCATCACTAATATTATATTCTCTTAATACGTTAATACAATGAACAGAAGCAGCCTCATCTGAAAAAAATAACGAGTCGTGAGTCTCATGTGGCAAAATATATGAAGAAACGTTAAACTTACGCTTAGTTATAAATTGAAGTCTCAGACTATCCTTTTCATTAATTAGACAAGCATTATACGCACACTCACGCATAATTGCTATAGCTTTATCATTATATTCAGCTGGAATCTATAAATCGATTAATTACGAATGATTAATCATAAAAAAAGTATTTACTCTTTTAATAAAAATAAATCATGAAAATTTTAATACCGGCATTATAATTAAAACATTTTCAAAAAAGTTATGGTATGGCCAATAAGACATTAAAGTCTCTTTGATAAAATTACCCATTTCTTTAAGATAATCAGTAATAGCTTTTTTATAATGTAAACCTTCCGGTAAATAGGGTTCATAATTCGTTTGACTTAAATATAATAAAAAATTTTCTACAGGTTTTGTTTCAAAACTTTTCTTTTTCCTGTTTGGTTTTTGAGATAATGCGGAATATCCCCAACTAATTAAATTAAACGATTCATCATATTTTAGAACTGTTGGAGTCTTAAACTGACCAATAAATCCCCAACGATTATACACGAATATTTTACTTGGAGTTGATTTGTATGCATAGGCGAAAGTCTGTTTGTTGATAGAACATTTAAGTTGATAATTGATAATTTTATGAGTTAACTACAGATGAAAACTTACTGAATGTTTAACTCCGAAGTCTTAAATCGTAAAAATCCGAAATTAATAAAATAAAATTAATGCATTTATTTACGGTTTCAATTAATAATATTAATTATAATTATAAATTACCTATGCCTACAACTATACGAATATCATGAGTCATTTCCATAATTTCCTAAAAAAAAAGTCGTCTTGCTTGTGTTTATATATCATTTGACTTTTACCATTTTGGAAATATCGACCCTAACACAGTATATATGTTTAAGGTTAGCATCAAAAATTGATAAGAAACAACCCTTCCCACTGATGAAACAATTCTATTTAAATTTTATGATTCAGGTCAAACGGTCATTGAACTCCTTGGCACATGGGATCTTTTATTAATTTGTTTTGGTATCTGTACTGAAGGTTTTCTAAATTGATTGTCACATTAGTTTATTTTGCTGTGGATAATGATTTTTATAATTTGTTCGGTTAATAAATTGTTTATCGAGATTATATCGAATAGACATATAGTATACATATATGCAAAATTGATTGGTGGCTTTGCTATAACGATTAACGAATATGTTAATTAATTCGTCCTTTGTGATTTAATGAATTTGAATAATTGTAAGAAGGGAGAAAATAGCATTTAAATAGTTTTCTATTTAAATTATAATCCGTAGATTTATCGACGTCAATCTCAATCTCCAACCGTAAATCGCTCGTTAATGCTGACTTAATGGTGATGAAGTTGGTGGTTAATAATAAATGATAATATTATATGTATTTATTTCATTGATATAAATGGAATAAAAAACTACTGCAAGAAATGTAATACAGTACTACTTTTGATACAAGTATAAGAGATAATCATATTTCAATATATCTTTTTCTGCCTCAATCGAATATATAAAATTATTTTATATTAACTGTTAATATTGTAAGGCAAATTTTAAGTAGCCTGACATTAAATTATAAAATAAATACTTTCAAAGAATTGTGTTATTTTTATTTTACTGATTGTCGGAATTAACTTGTGAATGAACTTTTTGATGATGTATAATTGCGTGAGTTAACTTCGAAATCATCAAATAAATTTATTCCTTATTTTGAAATCAATGAATCTGACCAATAGGTTCCTGAGTTTGAATTCTAAAGAAAAATATTCTAATTACATTTAAGATAATATTTCTTCAATTTCGTTTTTCTTTGTAGTATCTGAAATCTCGCGATAAAAACAGGATTTACCTATAATGATAAATTTTCAACGTAAGGAGCATTTTATTTTTTGTAATAACCCTTTATCAACAGATTCTCCTTTATGTAAATTAATTCTAGCAGTAGACAAATAAGTTTTTGGATTGAAGTAATATTCGTAATAACTTAAAAACTCACTTTCCTTTTCCCTTCATTTATCTTTTAATAAATATAACAATACTATATTTTTCTTCTTTTTATTATTTAGGAGTTTTTCCTTCAGTAGATGAAAATGGTAAATTTATTTCTTGAACTAATAAATTTAAATGATTAAGAATTAAACTTAAAAGCATCAATAGATATGATATCTGAAAGGCTGGTAGAAATATCATTATTATTTTTTGGATTTGTTAACGCTCCCAAAAGTCGATATACTGTATATTAGAATTATAATAAATGCACTATTAATTGACAATTTTGTAAAAGATGCTTATTTTTCATTAGTTTTATCTGCTTTATCAATTCGTTTACATATTGCATTTCACAAGGATCCACTATCATATTGTTTAACTATTACTTTCAAATATTTCCTTTTAATAGATCTGGACCTCGTTAGAATTAATCTAGGCGCTTCGCTATGATTGGTAGTATTAATGAAAGCATTTTACTAATTAATTCTTTTTTCTTTTTTTCATAATGATGAAACCAGAAACTTTGTATAATCTTTAATAGATTATGACAAGATATTATCAACGAAAAAAGGACATACAAGTGAAGAAAAAAGAAAGATGGTCTCCTACGCAAATTTTTCATACTATGCTCTTTGGGAAGATCGATCTTAGTCTACACATTGGCTAGCTTTTATCACCATTAAAAAACTCCAAGGTCACTTCAATGGATAAAATTACTCTATGGATCGAGAGAGAAGCAAGAATAAAGAATGAATTCACTCACAAAATTTACGCGTGCAATCTAATTACAATTTATGAAGATTTACAATTTTAATTTATGGCGTAACTATAAATTTGAATTAATAGCAAATAAAAAAAATATACTTCAGTCAGGTGAGTTAAATCCATTTTTTTATTATAGAGTATTTAAATTTTTTGGATCTGTATCAATTTCTATTCGCTATGAAGAAAAGTCATCACAAAAATCATCTTGTAGATGCGCATACTGAAAATTTTATAGAGGATTATTGCCGTTTTCAGAAATGTTGACATTAGAATGTCGATCATTTCTATAAATCGAACACACCGAACACACACCGAACACAGCAATTAAAATTAAAAAAAAACAAATTTTCCTTTAAAAAAAGCAAAATTAAAACTTTAGTAATATATTTTTAGGTAGTGTGCAAAAAAAAATGTATAAAAATTATATTATTTGCATATATGTATTCACTTGTATTTGCTTGTATTTGCCAATGTTCGGTGTGTTCGGTGTGTTCGTTTGTGTTCGGTGTGTGTTCGGTACAAATTTTCATATTTTCAATTTTATTCATATCTAAAAAGTGACAAAAATAGTTTTTATATAAAGTTATGCATGAATACTTCAAGTTCTGTCTCTTATACACATCTAGATGTGTATAAGAGACAGGTTCGGTATAAAATGGTCAAAATTTCAGATTGTCAACATTTCTGAAAACGGCAATAATATAATTATTTTATTATTAAAACATAATATTGGTGTGTTTTTATAATTTCCATCATTCTTCTTTTCAATATTCAATTATTCACATCAAAATATTTGAATGATTCATATGTTTCATGTTATTCATGTAATTTATAAATAAACAATGAAATGAGTGGAGGAATAATACTATAATACCATCGTATTGCACTAATAAATATTATCAAATACTATTTCATATTTCTAAACAGTTTTCTTGAGCAACAACCTTAATTGTTGTATCATCAAAAATAAAGTAATCGAAATAGCATTATTATTAAATGTACTGGGTGTATGGATCTTCAATGTACCAGGTATTAAATTTTACTCCAGAAAGCATCACAATATTTTACATTATGTTCATCTGTAACAAATATCTAAAGTCTAAACTATTTCGTGATATGAAACTTGAACTAAAAATCATAGGGATTCCAGCATCGGAAGGAATTTCATCCCCTCGTTTGGCTATTCGTAAAAAAGAATTAATCATTCCATCTGAAAAGTTTAAGTTCAATTGGATCACTAGAATTCCATTTGCGAGTAACTTTAATTCCTAAAAATGAAATAAATAATGAGGTTTATTTCATTAATTTTTAATTAATTAATTTACAATTTACTATATTTGACACCACGAGGTTTTTTAGTACGAGGCATTTTGCCAAAAAGTTTTTGATTCAGTCTCCTAGAAAGAAAGAAAATATTTAATATACTTAAAAAACAACAAAGAATTTCTTTTCCGTCATAAAAGTGAAAGAACTTACCAACTAATGTCAATAAAAATTTTGTTAAGTGTGTTCGTTCTTTTAAAAGAAGAAAGAAATAGGTATATATTAAAAAACCAGAAATTCTTAAGTTGTTTTATTCTCAGTACTAATAGTTTTTAACGTTTAATTAAGGCCGAAGTGATAGGTTCCGCAACAAAACATTTTTTTTCGTTGGTGCCGAATGATATAATTGATAATTAATTGCATGTGATTAACTCAAAATCAAATAAGGGGCAGCTGCCCTTTTATAGGTCATTATCGGCGGGTGAATATCATTATATAGTAACTCATAAACTCAAGCTCTTTCTTCTACAGCACTCTTAGTCTCTTACGTGAAATTAATTCTTCTACAGTACTTTTACGTGAAATTACTTCTTCTATAATACTTTTACGTGAAAATATTTCTTCTACAGTACTCTTACGCGTATTCAAAATTGTCTAAGAAAAGTAATTTTTTCAGTATTTTTTTTTTTTTTTTTTTTTTTTTTTTTTTTTTTTTTTTTTTTCTAATTATTTTATTATAATATTATTTATTCAAATTATTTACTTAATCATTTATCTTTTTTATAGCCGTAACCATGAAAGAAGCCGGAAGCAAAAAAAGTCTTATCGCGCTATCCAAAGAAGGTAACGAGCACGATTGATATTCTAAATGTATAAATTAAATATTAACAATTAAAGCTTGATTCAACGTGTTTAGAACAATATTAGTTTTTTAATAAATTTATTTCCGCAGTACTCTGCTAATTGTCGTTTTATTTTAATTTTTTTTTGGATCAACCAATTAAATCGCAATTAATGAGTCACCCAAACGACAATCACTCAGGCGATGTTTAGCCAGCCAATACAAGGAAAGTCGATTGAAAGAAAGTAAGGAAGCGATAACTCAGGGAAGGCTAGTGACATATGGCCCTTACCCTCGGAATTTCGAAGCGTTTAATAATGTAAACAACAGTAGAGATGGAGATCCAACGCACACCATCGCATACATCAAAACCATGGGAGGCGAGGATTTATATGACAAAAACATGAATTTTATGTTTCAAACAGAACGCGATTTTTTTGAATGCATTCATAACTTACCAGGCTGGTAAGTATGAGAAGTTTCTCTCATGTGGTGTTGATCTCTTAACATTATTTAATATTCTTTCCATTTATACAAAGGTCGCGCAGGATTCCTTCAATGCCGGATATCGCAAAATCCCTCAAAATTAATTGTAACTTCGGTGAATATCGTTGAGAGAGAGATAATGAGGATGAATGTATAAGTATAGAGACGCGTAGATATATGACGCTGTTTGATGAAATTATACATAAAGGAAGAGTGCTATCACGATGACGATCTGACGGAAGATATGGAAGGCGAAAATGATATCATATGATGTCGCCAGATTTGATATTGCGTTCAATTGGCCTTAAGTGAGATCTTTTCTAGCCTTTGAACACTTCTTAAAGCTATTTCCTTCCTTGCTAATTTTCTAATTTATAGTGAATCATATTTCACATTCTTTATTCCTGTAAATTCTTTTTAATTTGCATTCTTAAAAGCTATTCTTTTATAATCATGTATTTTTATAAAATCTTAGATATGTAAACTAATAAAGATAATATTATCAACTGCAGACCTTTATTTATATTTTTTTTGTAAAGCAACACATTGAGAAAGAACTTTGTCAGCTAAATTTTTTATTGCAAGTATTATTCTGCGACAAACATTAATAATTCGGCATTAGTTAGTGTTGATTACAAGTTCAAAACATATAATCGCAAAGCAACCGGGTTCTTTGAAAGACTGTCTAAAGAAATTTTTGGATATAATATGAAGTCGTATGAAATCACCAAAAATCTAATTCAAAGAGGTACTAACACAGAATCTCTTGCTGCCATGTTCATCTCCAAGTGTGGACGGATGGTCAATTTCGATGTACGCTTTTGCTAGTTTTTGGATGTATGGTATCAGTGGATGGATTTTGACGTGATCCTGGATTAAATGATTAGGGGTAACTGATATAGTATAATCTTATAGCTTCGTATTTCTAAATATCAATTAGATTAATCGGAAACTTTAATATTATTTCTTTCATTCTATAGGCAATCTGTCAATTTAGACTAGAATATTAATTAGGGTTTTTCGATCTCTAGCTAAATTATTGTATGCGAGCAAATAATTGCCCGAAGCGACCTTTTATATTATAATAAAATCTATCGCAACTTGATGTTTTTTTCTAAAATAGGAAATTCATTAATGAATTTCTATAGTGATCAACAAAAAAAAAAATTTTTTTCAACTTTTCCTAATTATGTACCAGCACAATTTGATGATACACCATGAACAACAAATAAGTAATGAATTAAATAAATTAAATAAAAAATATTGAAGAAAATTTTAATTATGATGAAGAATTTGATTTTGATGACTTTGATGATTATTTTGAAGATGAGTTGAATGATAATGGAGAATGGGATAACGCAACAGGAGGTAAAACATAAGTATAATTAAGTATTTGAGATTTTGTTTTATATCAAAAGATAATACAAAGTTAAATTGTCATTTTATTAAAAGATTTTACTAAACAGTACTATCGATTACAAGCTGGCGGTACATTATCTTGATCAATAAAATATCTGATTAAGCTAAAAAAAAAGTTATTGAAACTAAATTACAATAACAAATGAAAATTTTGAGTAAATATGCAAATAGGATTCTTGGTATGTATTTACAGGAATTATGTTCTTTTTGTTAGTCCAAAAATTTCTTTCTTAAAGATGAAGTCCCAGATGGTAAATTATCCGTTTCTGACATCAAGATGGGCAAAAAAAAGCTCTTGGTGATAAATATGTAATACTTGTAATACTTATATGGAATACGAAGATATGCTTGAAAACAACACGATTTGTTGATATGAGTCATGGATTTGCTGCTTGTGTGTTATACCAATGAAAGAAAGATACTCCTTTTTTCTTGAATAAAACCATCAATTTTTTCATATTTAAAATAATAGTTATTTAATTTGATGAATTATTGTTAACGTAAAAATATTTTTTTTTTGAAGGCAAAAAAATAGTGATAAATCAGATCGTGCTACTGTAGAGCAAGTGTTAGATCCTCGAACGAGAATAATTCTTTTTAAGATGATCAATTGCAACGTAATCTATGAAATAAATGGGTGTGTAAGCACTGGTAAAGAGGTATGATTGCCTTTTTTTTTTAAAAAAAAAAAAGAAATAAGGATCAGTATCTATATTAATATTTAATACAAATATATGATTTAGACAAATGTTTATCATGTAATAACAGAAGATGGAAATCATAGTTTATAAAACTTCAATTTTAGTGTTTAAAGATAGAGATCGTTACGTTACGGGAGAATTTAGATTTAGACATGGTTATAGTAAACATAATCCAAGAAAAATGGTTAATTATGGGCGGAAAAAGAAATGAGGAATTCAAGAGATCATGGCAAGCTGGTATTCCATGTCCGAACCTCTTGTTTTAAGGCTACATGTTCTAGTAATGAGTTTCCTTAGAGATAAAAATGGATGGTACGTATTTAAAATTTGAATATTTTTTTTTTTTTTTAAGAAAAAAAAAGAAAAAAAAAAATTTAAAAATTTCTTATTTCTTATTTTTAAGGGCATATCCAAGATTAAAAGACGCAATCATTCATTCTGATAAATATCCAGAGTTATATTATCAGCTTATAAAGAATATGAGAATAATGTATTATAAATATCGTCTGGTTCATACCGATTTGAGCGAATATAATCTTTTGTAAGTCTAAGAAATTTGTTTTCGTAAATCAGATCGAATATACAGTATGTAAATTATAATCATTTTTTAATAAATTATTTTATATCTAATATTGTACATTCATTAACATTCATTACAGTATATTATAAAATATAAAATAAATACTTTCAAAGAATCGTGTTATTTTTATTTTACTGATTGTCGGAATTAACTTGTGAGTGAACTTTCTTCTGAGGATGTATAATTGCGTAAGTGTAAATTCTGCGGTTTAATTTATCATTTGATTCAGTTCTTACTAATGGGAATTTACAGATGTCAACTTCGAAATCATCAAATTTATCATCATCATCCCACATTCCAACCATTAAACTCGGATCTATTTTATCCTTATTTTGAAACCAATGAATCTGGCCAATAGGTTCCTGAGTTTGAATTCTAAAAAAAAATATTCTAATTACATTTAAGATAATATTGGCTGCTTTTTCTTCAACTTCTTTTTTCTTTGTAGTATCTAAAATCTCGCGATATTGCTCCATTTCATCGTTGAGTTTAGTTTTGAATTTACCAATGAAGCTATGTTCATACGTTTCTTGTTCAATCATAATATTAGAGAATCCACGATTTCCAAGTGATGAATAAATTTGTTGTCTTATTTTTACAGGTACAGTAGGAGTAATACTATCATTACCTTCACGAGTTTTACCGAATTCTTGTGTTAATAGAATCAATTCTCTGCTTTTTTTGCGATTAATGCTTCAAGAGAATGAGGTTCACTAAAGTTTTTGATATTGTTATATACAGGAACATAACCGAAAATTGTTTCAAGAACGTGACGTTGTAAAACTGCCTTAATGAGGGGTATAACAGAAGATTTTGAGGTCAATCTAGTTTAACTTTTATATTTACTAAGAAGATTATTTACATTTTTGTAATTGATATTTATATTCGGTCTTAAGTTTGTGACGTAAATTTCCAAATCATCTTGTAAACGTGAAATATCAACTACGAGCTGAACTGTAACGCTTCTATCTTCATCGCTCAGCCGATCCTTTTACTTTACTGTATTTGAATTACTGTATATTTCTGAAAGTCCTTTAAATTGGTAATGACCTGACTTATAGTTGGACGATTATCCGGTTCATTATTCCAACAATCTTAAAAAATAAACACAATTATAAAATTAGAATAAAAAATTATTATTATAAGTAAAGATTAAAATTAATTATATTTACCAGTATAAATTTTTACATAATCTTTAGGTGTATTAGGAAAAGGTGTTTCTCTAAGACCTTGTGAAATGCTTATTGCCAAATAAATATCATATGATTTGGTATAAAAAGGTAGTTTACCACTAGATATTTCCCATAAAAGTATACCAACACTATAAATATCACTTTTTTCATTTAATTCGTAATCTTGCATACTAAAACTTTTTGGATCAATATAAGGAATTAATCCAAATAATTTTGATTGAAGGTTTGATGAACCTACAATTCTTTTTGACAATCCAAAATCAGCTAACTTGATGGTATTTTGATGGATTAATATATTTTTGGAATGCTATTTATTAAAAATAATTAAATTTAGTAAATAAAAATAATTTTAATATACGTATAACGTAATATAATATAAAGAATTACAGTACCAGATCACGATGCACGATCTCTTCATCATGCAAGTATGACACGGCATGTGCCAATTGAAGTGCAAGATTAAATTTATCATTCCAAGTAAGATTACTGGAATGATCTTTTAAATAGTTTTGAAGAGTGCCCCCATCAGCATATTCAATTACTAATAAATATTTTTCCGAATTATCATTTTCTTATTAATAGGAGAAAAAAAAATTTTAAAATTTTTAGATTTCTTAAAGCTAAATTAAATTATATATATATATAATTTATTAATATACCTTTTGTAACGCCACAAAAACGAATAATATTATCATGAAAATCTACTTTTTGCTGAAGTTTAAACTAAAAATTTTTTTTTGTTAAAAAAAAAAAAAAATTTAAAGGAGTAAATATATATATATATCAAAGTTTTTTTATTATATAATTTTTTTTTTAATACCTCATTAACAATTTCTTTACACGTAGCGTTATTGAAATTAAAAAAAGATTTCAACGCTAAATGTCTCTGAGAATTTTTCCAGTTCGTACGATAAACTTTTCCAAATACTCCGGAACAAATTTCTTGAATATTACTGAAATGTTTGTAATCATAATATTTAAAATAATTTTTAGTAATTGCTTCTTCAATCCAATTAATCGATTCATTTTCGAGTTCAATGTTGGTAGACATTGTTGAGAAAAGGGAAAAAAAGTATGGAATTTTTAATTTTTTTCATTTAAATAGAGTTTCGTGTTACAATTTACAAATATGTAACGTTGATCAAATTTAAGCCACAGCACATTAAGCAAAGACGTGACGTTTTCACAATACGTAAAATATTGGCTCTCATTTTATATTTAATTATTTAAGGAAAAATATCCTCAAAATGAATCACGAATATTGAACAGGATAATCCAAAACACAAGCTTGTAAATGGGAAACGGTAATATTAAATGATTTACATGTTTAATTGAGAATTTTTTCACGGAAAAAACTACTTTTGATACAATTAAATATTTAAATATATTTTTTCTTATGTTAATTGTAAATTATTTTATAACATTATTATGATACTGTAAGAAAAACTTTAAGTAGCTCAATATTTATTACATTAAAATAAATAAATATTCCATTAAAGAGTTTTTTTTTACGCTCCAATCATTAGAATCAGATCTATTTTATCCTTGTTAAACCAATCAATTGATCAAATGTAAATTCTGAGGAAAGTAATAAAGAACATTCCTTTCAGAATTATTATCTTTCGCTTCACTTCAGATAATATATATGTATACACACTGCCAGTGTTGTCATAAGGACGAAACATGTCCATAGACGGGATGGGACAGAACAGTCCAGGACAGTGACCCAAATGACCTCAAATGGGGCACGGCTAAAGTGGAGCTAATGTGGCTCAAAAAATTTTCCAGATTCCCCCGATGTGGCATGTGCGGTAAAATATTTACCCTTGGCGCCCAGCCGGCATAATGTTGAGCCGTGGCTGAGTTTGAAAGGTCCTTCGTGGGTGTGACGAGTGCTGGCACAAGCCTCACCGTCACGAAAAACTGGCCCTGCCACGTCACAGCGACACTATTGTGACGAGCTGGGCCACTATGGGTAAATATTTTCCTGCTATGTGCTGTCGAAAGAATCCAGTACAAAATTTTTTGAGCCACTACTGCAGCCCTGCCCTGCTTTAGCCGTGCCCCTCAAATGACTCAAATGACTGGTCACATGTCATTTGGATCATTTCAATCTTTCCCAGTATCGCCAGAAAATTTTTTTACCCCCACGTTGTAATAACCAAAAATATAATGAAATAAAATAAAGATAAATAATTAACCGGTGGATAAATAATTAACCGATGGGTAAATAATTAGCCAATAAAATTATATTTATAGTTTAGTTTAGTGTAACGAGATAGTCATATGATAATAGATCTTCAAATTTTATTAGAAAAAATAGAAGTATTAGAAATACTTTTTCTTAAAATGTATAAATACAAGTGGATTTCGATAGAAATTCGGTAGTTCAATTTTTGAAAAATAAAAATTTTATTTCGTCCTTAATAATAAACAAACACATTCTTTTAGCCTTTTTCTTATGAGCAAAAAGTGCCACATTAATTATTTCATTTTAATTAATAGTTTATTGAAAATATAGAGAAACTATCGAAATTTAAAATTTCGGTAAAAAAATAATGGTTTGTAAATTTTATAACTAATTTTTATTTTAAACCAAGCATAGATACTATACGAACTCAGCACATCGGTGGCAACATACGATATTTTATTTTAATATCCTATGGGCGGCGTGTCACATTTTTGGTGCATGCTCGTGAGAAAATAAAAGATTGTTGTCTTCATACAAAATCTAAATGAGAAATAAAAGAAAAGTATATGAGAAAATGAAAGAAAAATTTGTAAAATTAATAAGAAAAAGATGATATGAGAAATCATCAAAGAAATATGAGAAAGGAAGAATGATATGAGAAATCATCAAAGAAATATGAGAAAGGAAGGATGATATGAGAAATCATCAAAGAAATAATAAGATAAGGAAAACTTATCTGAAATATGAGAAAAATGTTACTATATATGAAAAAGGATATAGTAAAAGTAATATTATGAAAAAGGAATATTACGGAATATATGAGAAATGAAATATATGATATATTGAAAAAGTATATATCAAAAAGATGAATGAAATATTCAAGATAATAATGAAAAGATTTAAAAAATTAAATGAAAATAAAAATTTATAAGAAGAATGAATTTTGTGAATAATAAAAGTTAATAAATGATTGAAAAATTCAAAAAGTATTATAAGAAAAGAAAAGTTATTAGTGACAAACCCGTAAACTACTATACTTCTATGAAGAAGGTAAAGGCAAGCCCGGTATAGGTTACTAAATGAAAAAGAAAATTAAATGATATTGTAAATATGAGAAATATTGAAATGTTATTATACGAAAATAATTTTATTACAATAAAAAAATGATATGAAAGATTATAAAAGATAATAATGAATTATATGAAATGAAATGATGTAATAAAAGAAATTGCGTAAGCATGTTGTGTAAACAATATAAAATGTTGTACAAATCACGTGAGTAATGTAAATCACGTGATGAAGCGCAGTAAATAAAAGAAATAAAAGAAAGTATAAGTCACGTGATAAGGCGCAGTAAAAGAAATATATAGCTGCCCCTTGGGCAGGGGCGACTAATTAATAAAAATATAAATGAATAAGAAAATAATAGAAGAAATAGTTGTATCACCAGGGGCGTTATGTCAACAGAAATTTTAGTACGTTGATCGCTTAAAAATCCGTGGCTATCCAATTATAATAAGAAAATATTAATGAATTATAAAACGAAATGCGAGAAATAAAATAATATGAAATAGATTTGAAATAAATATTTTGGAAGTTAATATAAGAAAAAGATTAAAAGTTATTAAAAAAGTTTAATTTGGTATATAGAACTGGGAGAATCCCAGTATAAATAAGCCTTTGTTGGTGAACATATTAGTCTGACACTGGGCAGCCCCAGTTATAAATAATCCTTAGCCTTGATCACAGTTTATTTGCGCAAGATATAGAAAGTTAATAAATAAAATCGCGATTATAGATTATATTATAGAATGTATAGAGAAATTATAGAATCAAAGCTGGAACTTTGAAAATATTAGAATTTTAATTGTATTTTAAAGAAGTAAAAGATAAATAGTAATTTAAATGATGTTAAATTAATGATAAAATTTTATAAAATATAAATAAAAGTTAAATTATGAAATGTTTAAATAAATAAAAAATGTCTGATATATACGATGAATTAGAAGAGATTAAAAGAAGACATGAAATAGAGAAACATAATGAATTGAAAGAAGAATATCAAGTAGACCCTTCATGTCTAAAATGTTATAATATTAATGAAATAGAAATAGGAGATTGGTTTAAAAGATTTTGGAAAATTTTTCAAAAAGTAATACTGGAAGCAATGAGTTATAATAGAAACACGTATACAAAATTAATGGAATACATAGTATTGACAAGAAAAGATGGAGAAGAAAATTATCCATCTAGTAAAAAGAAAAGAAATAAAGAATTCGAGAAAATAAGAAAAGAAGGAGAAAAACTGTTAGATATAGTCGTAAGTTCAATTAGGTATAGAAATAAATCAGATTATAGAAAAGTAGGAATTATATCAGTAATAAAAGTGATAAGTGAACATTATATACTTAGTGAAGATAATTAGTTCATATTAGATGATCAAACAGAGGAGAATTTGTTAGGGAATAAAGAATTGTTGACGTATAGATATATTATAGAAGATGATGAATTAGATATAAGATTTGCAAGATTTGAGAAATGGTTGGAAGAAATAGAATCAGTAACTATTAAGAATAAAGGATATGGTATTATGAGAAATTTAAAGAAATATTACATTTAGAAGAAAATATAGCAGAAGAAGAAAATAGAGAGAAAGTCAAGAAGTTTCAGAAAAGTATAACATATCAATGGTGGAACAGAAATGAATATTCAAAACCATGGATGAATGATGATTTAACAGATAGGATAATAGATAAAATTGTAGAAACAAAAGGTTTTGTTGAAGAACAAAGTGACATAGGAGAACTAGAAAGTTCAGATGAAGTGGGAGAATCAAGTTCAAATGAAGGAGATAAACATATAAAAAGAATATACAGAAATTATTGGTTAGAGAATGGTTATGAAATTGATATTGAAGAAATAAGACGAATAATAAATTTTGGAGTAGAATATGAAATAATAAAAACTAAAGAATTTATGAGTTTTTACAAAACTATTGAAGAATTAAATGATAAAGGAATAGAAGAAGAATTAAGAATATGGCATTATATGTATACAATAGAATGTCCAACGTGTAATAAAATAATATTGAAGAAAGAAGCAATAGAAGCAGTAGAATACAATAAAGAATTTATAGAAAAGATATGTAAAAGTTGTTATAAAAAAGGACCAGAAAATTTAGAAGATGAGAATAAATTAGATGATGAAACAGAAATAGAGAAAAGATTAGAACGGTTAAAAAATTTAATCAAAGTTTTAGAAATTGAAGTTTCTGATAGAGAATTATTAAGATTAATAAGTATGGAATATAGAGATGTTGATATATTAAGTGCAGACTTTATAAGAAAATTTCAAGAATATAAAAATGAATCAGAAAAAGAAATAAGGAAAATATTAGATGAATATTTAAAGAAATTTGAAATTGAAGAAAGTGAAGAAGAAGTTGAAGAAGAAAATGATGATACAGATGATTCAGAAAAGATTGGAGAAATATTAAATCCAGAAGAACATGAGATTTGGGAAGAAAATACTGGAAGTTTTAATGAGAATGAATTTGAGAGCGAAAATGAAAATGTTATAAATACAGAAGGTTTTGGCTTAAGTCAAAATTCAGATTCGAATAATTCATTAAATATTGAAAATTCTGATAACGAAAGTGAAATATCTGATTATAATTTACAAGATTTATTTCAAGAGAATATATTGTTAGATATGGCAAATCAAGATCAAATAAAAAGAATAATGGAAAATGTTATAGGACTTGCACCTAATACATTAGATAATGTATTAGGAGCAGGACAAACTTTAATAGAAAGAATTCAAACTGCAGGAATAGGAGGAATAGTAGGTATGCCAACTTTTAGTAGAAAAGAAGATGAAGATGTTAACGATTGGATTAGACAATTTGAAGTAGCGTTTACAGTAAGTGGAAGAATAGAAGGAAATGTTGGAGGAGG